ACTTTTATAATAGTACTTAGTATGTTTTTCTTTTTGATCATATCTGGGATTCTTTAGTTATAATAAAGAAATTTATTCCATTTATATTTATTGTTATAACAAATTTGGTCAACTTTTGTTTTTGCTCTCATTTTTACTACTTCCTCTATTTTTTATTTTCTACTATATGGTCAGGGTTTGTTTTATGTATTTCTCTCCTGCTGATAATTTGTTCTTTTAGTAGTTTCTTCATAATTATATTTAATATTAATATATTTAGATCTCTGCTTCTTGATGTATCAACTTCTGACAGTAAATACTGATGTCTGCTTTATAAGGTGAGAAAATAAATACAGTTGAGTGATAGTGGTATCTCCTAAATTACTTCCTTATTGACTTCTGATTTCCATTAATGTTATAATTTTTATATTTCTAGAGTTTATAATTTTTTGGTAATTATTTCCACAGATGTTTAATTTTAGTTTTATATTTAAATGAATGTATTGCACATCTCCAGACCTGTCCCAAAGCTTCAACAGTGTAGTGTCTTAGTCCATTTTTGTTGCTAAAATAAAAACCCAAGACTGAGTAATTTATAAAGAAGTTTATTTTATCATAGTTCAGGAAGCAGGAAAGCGCCAGCAGGTTTGGTGTCTAGTGAAGGCCTGTTGCCTATAGATGGCACTGTCTAGGTGTCCTCATTTGGTGCGAGAACAGAAGAGCAAAGAGGGCCCTAAGCTAATTCCTCCAGCCCTTATATAAAACACTAATCCATTCATAGGGGCCGAGCCCTCATGACTTAATCACTTCCCAAAAGGCCCACCTCTTAATACCACCACAATGGAGATTAAGTTCCAACACATGCATTTTGAAGGACTTAAGACCATAGCAGCCAGGTTAAATTCTTCATTTTAATGTAGTTCTTGGTTGGCTGTTTTTATTATCAATACGTTTCTCAAGATTAGTCAATAAGTATGAAATTCCCTCTGTGTTTTTAAACGTCTAAGAGTGCTTTTCTGTTGTCTTTATTCATGTTTGAGACCAGAGTGAATTTGCTTGAATTTGTGGATTGATTGATTTTACTTCTTCTTGAAACAACACTTATGCTTACTACATACAATAAGGTCCAATATTTTCTTTTATTGTATTTAATTTTCTTAAATGCTTATATGACCCATCAAATTAATACAGTGTTCTACCTTACTTGAAATTTAAAATATATATATGTGCTAAAATGTAGTGTGAAATGATATGAGTATAGTGGTCACCAGTGGTTTCAATTCTGCATGTTCTCTCAAAATATGTTCTTGACAGATTTGCTGGGTGCACTGCCCTAGGAGCTTATTTTCTATGCCTTCCATTTTGAGAGACCTCATTATCCTGATGAGATCAACCTGCTTCTTAGTGAAGTCTCCTAGAGTATTGCCTTTATTCTGATGAGTTTGGGTTTGCTTATCTCTGTCCTGCTAATTCTATTCATCAGATACAAAGCAGGTTCATACTTCTCTCTTCCCCTCATTTAATCTCCATGAAGTTTCTTCAAGGTAGGAGATTTGCTCAAAGGAAATATAACTCTTTTAGCCTCTCCTCTATTCTAAAGTTGGATCCTCACAAAGATTTACCTCACAATTCCAGGGTCCTGCTCCTGTTCTCAGGCTCTCTTTTTCTAAGTAAAAGTTTATTGTTTGTGCTCTTCTAGACTTTCTCACTTATTTTATTTTCAGTGCAATGTATACCCTACTGGAGATGTAAGCATATATCAACTATTGTTATACTTCCTCTTTAGGGCTGAGTCCAAATTTCATTTCAAGGCATGAGATTATGGCCTCTTTCTAATTGCATTGTAGATGGAATTTTCTTCCCAATTTCTCAATTGTTTGTTGAGAGTTTCAGGGAGGAAGGAAGAGTAACCATACTTTTACTCCATCGGTTATTGCAATCCCTTATTAGAATTCATTTATCTGACAGATATGATATAAATACTATTTTAGGATGATTGTTCTAGCAGCCTTTTAAGGCATAGATTAAAGTGAGATGAGGTGACATGCCAAAAACTCTTAGAATAATCTAGACCAGCACAGTCCAATAGAACTTTCTGCAGTAATGGAATTCGTCTATATCTGCACTGTCCACTATAGTAGTCATTAGCCACATGTAGCTATTGAGCACTTGAAATATGGTTTGTGAAACTGAGAAGCCAATTTGATTTGATTTTCATTAATTCAAATTTAAACTTATAGAGCCACATATGGTTAATGGCCGCCATACTGGACAGTGCAGATCTAAGCAATATAAAAGCCTGAATACTGGTAGACTGCAGCTGATGAAATAGAAATAATAGAGGACATTTAAGGGGTGTTATGGAAAAAAGAAACAACAATGTTTTTAAAAGAGACAAGAGAAAGAGGAGCTTTAAATAATTGAAAGGCAGTGTGCTTGGGAGAATGGAGAAACTGGTAGTACCATCAAATATAAAAGAATATATTTTGAAAAATAGATACTTTTAACAGATTGAGTGGCAAGGAGACCTCCAAGTGGAAATAATTACAAACAATTAGAATTCTCATACTGAATTGGGGTGAAAGTGGAGGTGAAAGCTAAAAAAAATCGTTTTCCTTGGCATTTCTCTGTTGCGTGGGGAAGAGAGAGGTGCCTCCATGCACCTCTTTTCAGAGATTGCCTTGTCCTCCCTGACATAGAGAGACCCTGATATATGGCATAATAATGATGGTTCAGAGAAATTACTATTTCACCTACTGAGTGATTAATATGAAATTAGTTCCTGAAACACTCAGTGGTGCAGAGAGAATCAAGGAGGAATTTGGTTTTGTTTTAGAAAGGAAAAACACAAGATAAAATACTGCTTGGCATACATGTAGTACTTTTCATCTGAGAATCTCTACATATTCAGCAAGTTTAATTAATGAAGAAACCTCTAAGAAAGAGAAGTGATGAAATAAGGAACACAGATACTGGTGTTCTGTTTCTGTGATTTTTAAATCAAGCTTGGTGTTTTTCTCTTCCATTAATGCACAAGTGTAGCCCCATGCGGCAGCCAGGAGATATTCATCTTTCTGCTGAATGATTTCTCTTGGAGGCATCTTACTTAGGAGGGATAGTAACCGTGCAGAACCCCACCCCCTAACTTTATTGATGTCCTTTGCTCTATTTGCAATGGAAATCCATCCCTATCGGTTGGCGTGCAGCAAGCTTTCTCTGATAATCGAGTCTGCACTGTCCCTGGAAAGATTGCTTTGTTGAAGAACGGAGCAGGTTATCTTCTTTATCAAAAATTACTCAAAACAAACATCCATAAATCTAGGACTAACATACACTGAGAGGGGACTGGCAAGGCCCCTTAACGGATACCCTACTGTGTAATCTTCCTTTCATCTTCATTCAAAATTCCTTGGGGATTCAAGCTGTTTTATGCAAAAATATAAATTTTGCTAATTACTTATGAGTAGGGTACATGGTTTGGCCTAGTCAAAAGCAATATGCAATATTGTATCTTGGCATTTATTTTCATCTGTTGTAACTTGTGGATAGATGCTGGGTTTTTGTTTGTTTTTCGTTTTTTTGTCTTATGCCTCCTTTTTTTATTGTTTATTATTATTTTTTTTTACTCCCCTCCCCAATTTCTTTTATCCTCCTATTTAAAAAAAATAAAAATAAAAATGCTATTCTACCAAAAGAGAAAACACCTTGAAAAATCATGGCTTCTAAAGATTTTTACAAAGGGTTTGATGTTTTGTAAAATAAAACTAGCTAGCGTGTGCGAAAACATCTGTTTTTGTTGGAAGGGGAAAAGCTACTGAGGGGTTTCAGTTTTTGTTTTTTAAGTCATCCAGGCCTCCCACAGTAATATATAGATCTTTCACTTCTAGCCCATGGCCCTCTCATATCCTCCAAACCCAGAACTTCAGGTTTCTCCTCATCCTTTCTTGAGTATCTTCTTTTATCCACCTGAGCCAGCATCGTCTTATTCATCCTGAACACAGTGCACTTTGTTTGCCCCATGACAGAAGATTTACACTTTTTCCTCATTAGTGCTGAGACCTCCTAATGCCATCAAGATCACCATTGTCCACCACGGTGCCATGGTGACCTTTTCCATTTTAATACATAACAGGGATTTGAGAAGAGCTGATTTAACACTTTCCAGATTAAATGTCAAATTCTCAAAATTCAGATGGATTTGGAATCTACCTAAGCATATTTTTCTGCTCCTGTTCCCAGTAGTCTGCACAGTGGCACTGATTAGCAGGAGCATTTTGTAATATCACTTAAGGCTTCAGCGCTGTGGAGCTCTGCCAGTAATGGTGTTTAATTCACTTATATGTGCCGATTCATCTCTGTCAGGAACCTATTAATTTCTTCACTATTTTACTCTGTCTCTAGCCCCTATATAATGAGACACGATGATCCACATTTGTATAACCAAAAAACTTAGAGTCTCTTATAAATTACCCCTGATGCCACTGCTTTTAGTGACCAGAAAGCCTCTGTATTTCTTTTTCATATTTAAATCAATGTTTGCAAGCTCTCTTCTTTAGAAGAATACACTGGAAACTCTAGTGCACTAAATAGTGAAGTCATAGAAAACTATAAGATTTTAATGGGCTCCTTAACATGCATCCCTGTCCCAAGAATGACTTCCATAATATCACATCAAAGATGCAGTGTTCCCACAAACACAGCCCATTCGTAGGGAGGGAATGTTAATGAAAATCTGCCTCTGACACCACTATCAGCCCAGACATCACTGGGCAAGATGTGTCAAAATACCTATAGCATTGCTATCAAACTAAAGACCCTATAACAAATCAAGGCATAAAGGACAGAGGTATGAAAGTAACTTCCTTATGCTGTTGGCATCTCTGCATGGTGTGATCTTGAGTAAATGGAAAAGTGACAGCTAAGTGACAAGGAAGAGTTAACAGGTTCAAGAGAGTATTCCATTGTTTTAGCATATGCAACTCGCATAGGTCTCTGCTACTTACTTGTTCTGTGTTTTTCAGGATTGGAGCAAAACATCAGGAGCTAAGGGAGAAGCAGGCAAGAGGTCTTGTCGATTATGCTACTGGTGCAATCGGATCAGTGCATGACATGGACGATGATGAAATGGACCCCAATTACGCCAGAGTGAACCACTTTCGGGAACCATGTGCATCAGCAAATGTCTTTAGGTCTCCGTCTCCTCCTAGGGCTGGGCCATTTGCTTACCCTCGGGATGGCCGTCCACTGTCTCCAGAGAGAGACCACTTAGAGGGTCTCTATGCCAAGGTCAACAAGCCATACCATCTACCGGCTCCAGTTGACAGGTAATATAACTTAGTGAAAGATGAATGTGGTTTTAATTCAGTAAGTTTCAAATCATCTCTACTGCTGAAGCAGATAAAAACATATCCTTCAATCTGGTAAAACTGAAATGATGTGGTACCCTAGACAAGTGCTATTCTTTGACCTACCCGTAAGGTATCCACCGTCAAAAATAAAACAATAGCCAGTTATAAGGTGGCGTGAATGAATAGTAGTCATAGAGTTCATGATGCAACCAGGAGCAATTTTTGAAGGAATATTGTGACAGAGAACTAATGGTGGAAGCTTTGAAGGGATATTGTCCTTTCTCCTGCGAGCCCCATTGTAAAAGACTTACTTATTCAGGAAGATTGCATGGCACTTGGAGGTGGGGCGTCAGAGAAAAGAAAATGATGACTTCCAAGTAGGTGTAATTGAACTGTAATTATAGACAGCTGTGGAAGAGCAAGAGGCTTTGAATAGCATTGGGATTTTGACCCTGTATAGATATTCATGGATGATCAGAGGTAGAAAAAGAGATAATCTTGGCAATAGGAGTTTGATGAAGTAGAGAAAGATAAGAGGTGACAAGGCCAAGGATCTTTAGGTTTAGCAGCTGAGGAAAGAGATAATAGGACCATCTGTCAGTACAATTGAAGTAGGTAGGGAACAAGAGGATTCCAACCCCACCTACTGTCAAAAGTAAAATACCTCATCCCTTGAAAGACTGATGCAAGAGATTTTTAGTCAGTATACACTGTAAGTGACCCTTGGAATTGCACATGCAAGAAATGGGTTGACTGACCTTGGTCTAATCTGACTGTAGCTTGAAGTGTTGAGGGAGGAGGTGGGGAGGAAGGGTGGCGGGCTCATAGAGCTCTCATTCTCTATGAAAAAAAGACTTGTTTCCCAGATTTCTTAGGGTTCTGACAACCACCTAGTCCCTATTAGTAACCAGCCTTTGTGTGATAGCATGATATATTGCATATGTTTACCGTTTACATTTCCCCAGCTGGGGGATATTATGCACTTTCAATTAGGTTGGGGAGAGGAAGGGAAATCATGGCATTTTTATGCAGACTGTAAAGTGTAGCTCCACAAGACTGATTACCTTTCAGAGCCTTTCCAATAACCAAGTGGAAAGGAAGGAGCAATTTTTAATCCTTACTGTCAAGCTTCCAGGTTGATAATATTAAAGAAAGATGGTCAAGTTTTTCTTTGGGACAAAATGAAAATATAAATTCTTATGACTGTGATACAGCCATAATAACTAAACTGCTAATTCAAAGAATTGATTAAGAGTTGGACTTTTTCTCACCTTCTTATAGAGTTGAATTTTATCATGTAAATAATAACACCAGGCACGAGCCTCTTCCGGCCCAGACCACAGTCAATCTTCCTTTCCCTTCCTCAGATGGGTCTTCATAGCAGGCCTCTTCGCGTATTCCACAGCTAGAGTCCCAGCACGGAGGAGCCGTCTCTAGGAACCTCCCCAGCCAGAATTTCCCGGTACTAATTCCATGAAAATAAATATGAAGCATTTTATTTAAAAAGGTTCATGAGTCAAATACATGTGAGGAATTTGGGGTTAAGCCACAAGGAGCAGGTTTCCTTGCTGCAGTCTTCTTATGTCCAAGACACTGCCATGCATCCTACACCTCTAAGGGAACTATACAGCAACTCAACAGCCAGAACTCAGCATCTTCCACATTTTTGTCACCTAAAGCTTATCCTAATCCTACCCCCCTCCCTTGTCTTATGATTGTTCTTTGGAACACTGCTTAGGAAACTCTATACTAACCGAATTTTCACACACATAAGATTTGACCAAGGAAGACATTTCTTAGGATAATCTTAACTCCAGCCACTATAAAATGATATCAAGAAAAAAATAATTATTTATTTCCCAGTCCAGACATATGTATAAGTAATAGAGTCTTCCTTTTGGCTCTGACCCTCTTTTTACTAATAAATGGTCTAAAGCTGTTTTCAGTAGAGTTTAAGACTATTGTCATATTTTTAGATAGCAGATCAAAGTGTGACCCTTTATACTCAGAATTGTCTTTATTCTGCTCTTTAATGATATTGAAAGACTACTCTTCTCCTTGTTTAAGTCTTCAAGCAAGCAGATTTTGTCTTGGCTCATAGAAAGCATTCGATAATGTTAGCTACGATCATCGTTATTACTATCGTTATTATTACTATTACTGTCCTTTATCAATGAAATTCTGAACTTTGCTAATATGCCTGGGCCCATATCAGTCTAAGAAGAGTTGCTATGACAGTGTCCCTAACAGTGTGCACAAGCGGAAACCATGAATCCCAAACCTACCATATTCACAGTCAGAGGGTACTGCTATTCATCCATCCATCCATCAGTCCTCACTCATTCAGTAAGCATTTATTTGGCACCTAATGTGTTCTAGCTACTATAGAAAGCTCAAGAGAAGATACAGTGTTGCCTAAGATACAATCTCAGTCCAGAGAAGGTCGTAGTCTAGTCAGTAGGGGACCAACACATGTGGAAATGGACAATTACAATATACTGTAAATAGAAGAAAAGGAAGCTTCTTTTCCTTCTAACTCTGCCTACGCTAGTCAGGAAAGGCCTCCAAAAGGAGATGATATTTGACGGCTACAGAAGGATTAGTAAAGATGGAGCTGATGCGAGAAGAAAATTGTTTTCCTTACAGAATAATGAAGCGTGTAGAAGAGCTTCTGCTGGAGAAGCTCAGAAGCACCCAGACATGGAGTGTGGGCAGGAATGAAGGGGATGGGAAGGGAGGTTTCGGGGCAGGCTGGAGTCAGGCTGTGGAAGGAATAGGTTGCATCTCGTGTTGCTACTTAATGCCGGGGAGTTGCTGTTTCGAAACCTGTGTTAAGAAGGGTTCCAAAGCTATGCCTGAATCAGGATGTCTGCCGGGGGCTCCAGAAGGCTGAGTGGAAGCCTATGTGCAGTGGGCATTGATATATCTGCCAGTCCTGTGGACAATGGGAGCCATTCATGAGCCACGATTGGGGGATGAGCTGATAGATTTGCATTTAGGGAAAATGGCTCTTCCAGCTTGTTGACAGGTGGAGAGGAAGATGGTTAGACTGTGAGACAAATTGAGAGATGATTATAGTAGTAAGAGATGACAAAGGCCTGGAATTCGAGAATGGGACTGGAGACAGGGGAAAATAGGAAGCAGCTCAAAACCTTAGTTTAAAACTAAGAGAAAGATGATTAGGAGATACTGCAGATGTGAGGCTTCCAAATACATCAAAGAGGTCAACAGAATAAAGACTAAAAAGAGAGGTTTGGGTTTGGCCACTAAAAGGTCATCCGTTAATTTAGAGAGAACAGTTTCAGGGGAGAGGAAGCTCAGAGGAGGAGTTATAACGAGTCAAAAATCAATTAGGAGGTGAGAAATTAGAGAGTGAGCTCTTTGTGGTAAAGAGAGAGCAAAGTTGTGGGATGTAAAAGGTTACAACTTTGAAGTTCCTCTGTGACAGCATTTCAGAGCTAACAAGAAAATTTAGAGACTATCTAGAATAACCTTCTCGTATTATTATTGCAGAAACTGAAGCCCAGAGAAGTTAAGTGACTTGCCCAAGGTCACACAGCATGGAGTCAGGACTTTATTCTAAGTCTCTCATGTCGTGCAGTCTTCTTTTCCCTATGCCACACTGTTATATGGACCACATTCTCATCTCCTGGTTCAGGAAACCAGTACCCACATAGGTAGAGTGGCATCCATTTCAGCTCCCAACGTGTAAATAGTAGGTTAAATCACGAGTTTTGGGATAAAGCTGATCTGGGCCCAGTCCTTCTTCAGATAGTACCGCATGGCCTTCAGTGAAGTGACTTTCCCAAGATACCATCTCATGCATATAATTCAACAAATACTTATTGAGTGTCTGCTGAGGGCCGAGACCTGAGTTCAGTACCGCGTTCACCAGGGAGCCTGCGGAAGAGGGGTGCGTTTCCCTTGGTATGGAGCTTGCAGTTCAGTGGCGCTACAATGACTTAAACGTGCAATGACAACACAGCGTGCAAAGTGCTGCCCTGGAGCGTGCACAGAGTAGTAGCTGGGCTGCTGGTTCGGAGGCACAGGGAGCAGCAAGGGTGACAGCTGAGCAAGGAGGAAGCACAGTATGTAGAGGGGCCGGCAGAAGCTCAGTAAAACTTGAGAGGCAAATGGAAAGAGATGACATGGGAGGGTCTCAGACATGACCAAGGGCAGATGAGAGACCCTTGGCTGGCTTTGGTGGGGAGTTTGGACTTGATCTTGAGAGAGGCAGGGCCGGGGCCGGGGCCGGGGCCGGGAAGGACTCACCGAGGGTGTGAACAGGAGACATAGTCCTGGAGTTCAATAGGCGTTTAGATGACTTAGGCAGCTTGTCCTCACCTCTTTATCTATAAACGGAGAATTATAATAATGGCCTCACATATTGTGATGGTTAAATATGAATTTACATTTTGCATTTTTTTGTATCTCCATATAAAACATACCCTATTTGTCTGTATAGCTCTATCTCACAGGAACATATCATATGTGGGTTGCAACTTTCTAATAGGGGCAACCCGTCTCATACCTCCTTGCTTCTCGAGATTTGGCCCCAAATCTTCAGCCCTTCTAAGAAAAAAAAAACTTATAAATGATTCATCTGCAAATAATAGTGGTTAAAAACCATCTCTACCACCATGCCAGAGACATAGGACTGGATTCTCACCGTGCTGGTTTTTCCGGGGTTTGAACATAGAGTAGGTTAAGTCCTGTGCTCAGAGCCTGACAGCTCCCTGGGATTTGTAACGTGTTAGTCTTCCACTGCAGTGTCAGCATTTAAAGGGCTCCCACAGTAATGAACGTGGAAACTTTATGTCTGGCTGAGCACAAATAGTTCCAAGTAGGGGAACTAGGAGATACATATGGCACTCAACTTGATTGTGGTTTTCCATTAGTCTGTGGGACTACTTGACATTCCTTTCTAGAGGCTGCCCAAGATATTTGAGCACACACACTGTCAGTAAAAATGTCTT